TTGCCACATCTGATCATCATACCTCTGTCAGGAATCTTTGACAAGATGTAGTGTTTCTTTCAGGTTAAAGACCAAGAAAACAAGTTGATTTTGCTGGCCAGGCTCTGGAATTCAGCCAAGGATGCTTTCCTGAACATGAGCAGGACCCACTGGCGAAGGGCCCAGGCCTTTGAGCCAAACAGCAGCTTAGTTAAAAGGCACACAAAGTTTAGACATAAGCAAGCTGTTAGGAGCTCAACACAGCAATATTTATTAGCCTCCCTTAGAAAAGTCAGGTGTGCAGGAGAAATGCTCATTGTAAACAGGTGCTGAAGGACAGTATTTTAACAAAAATCAAGCCTTGGTTTGAAAAAGAAGACGTTTCAAACAGTGTTGAATACCAGGAAGAATATGCCTATTGTTTTAAGACGATATCTTTTTTTTTTTAACAAAAGGAAGAAGAGAGGAAGGGGAAGAAGGAGAGAGGATTAGAGTAAAGAAGAATAAAGAAAGGAAAAAAACCCTCAAAGAGCTTATGTATTTTTGTAGCATGTGATATTTAAATTACAAGTCTATCTTGGTTATTCCTCCCATCCTGAAAGAGTAACAATATTTCTCCTTACTGACCAAGTAAGTCTCAACTTTGGAAATGACCAAGAGGCAAAGTAGCCATTTTAGAAAGATTCATAAAGCCAATCAGTCCAAAAAACTGATTTCTAAAGCTCATTTAAGATGCTGAGTCAAAGAATTTGAGGCATGAATTCATCTTTTTTGTTTTGTTTTGTTGTTCTTTTTGTGGTACCAAGGATTGAACTCAGGACCTTGTGCTTGCGAGGCAGGCGCGGTGCCACTGAGCTAATCCCCAGCCCCGAGGCATGAATTCAAGTCCAATGTTGATAAATCCTGCATCCTGTTTGAAAACGGCCATTCAAGCTCAGAGTCATTTAGCAGGAGAACCAAAGATACTTTTGACAACCCTCCATGAAAAACCTCATGAACAGCCTTCAGAAGTTGGTTCCCTTACTACTGGCAATTCGATCTTCAAACATCTGTATTACATGATGAAGAACCAGACTGCTTTCCCAAGGTTTAGTTACTAGTTCCGATAAAGAAGGTGGAGAATGCATGCATCTAGCAGACAGAACACACCATAAATTTTCACTGATGGCTGGAGCAGCAGGTCCTCCAGGCAGAAATGCAATGAGCACAGAGCCACCAAAGACCCACAATGCCAAGCAGCAAGGGTATGGTTTGGCCAAAGCCTCATGCACTCAGGGATGGGCCTTTTTGGAAGGTGACTGGATCATAAGGGGTATACAGCTGACTTGATGTTAGGAGGGATGGTCTGGTCGGAAGAGGCAGGTCACTGAGGGTGTGATCTGGAAAGGTTTATCTCCCTCCCTGGTTCTTCCCTTGTCTGCTTCCTGGCCACCATGATGTGAGCAGCTTTCCTTTCCACCATGCCTTCTTCCCTTGGAGCCAGTTGACCATGGACTGAAACCTCTAAAAACCACAAGCCCTTGAGCTTAAATAAATCTTTCCTCTTTTAAGCTGTAGGTGTCGGGTATTGTGTCTCAGCAATGAGAAAGTGACTATGGTATGAAGGTGTGAAGGGGGAAAGGCAAGAGCTACAGCTCTATAAAATGGGATGGCAGCAGAGGGAAAGGCTCTTCTTATTAAAACCTCTGCTGATCAATAAGCATATCTGGTAGTGGGCAAAACTCCATGTTATACAAGCAACCAAAATAAGCTAGCTGTACCAGGAATATACACAAGTACTCTGATCAACAGAAGATGGAAGAGGCTCCAGACTTCTAGAACAAGCTATTGGAGTCAACTTGGAAAACAGTACATAATTTCTAAACACTGATAATAGTTACAGGCCCCGGGATCAATTCCACAAACCTCATTATAAAATTATCCTTTTCCTAGATGCTTTCTACATTGATGCTAAGTATGTGAAAAATCATACAAAGTTAAACACTTAGACCTTTAAAACTAGTCCACCCACGAAAACGACTGAGATAATAGTCATTTAACTTAAAGTAATGACAACTCCCTGAGCTCTGCTGGCTCACTGAAAAGACAGGCTACATACACATGGGACAGCGCATCCAAGTGGAGGAGGCTCACTGACTTCTGGCGTAGCAATGTCTTGCTAGGACGAGGCTTCTGGAAGCCAAGGACAGTTATGCCTTGCTCTAATTAATGTCAATGACTCCAACAGCACCCCCAATTCTCACTAGGCAAAAGAGGAACCAATAAAAAGGCAGAGAGCTATAAAAGGGTTACTACTTCTAACATCAAGTGCATGCAGAGGAAGGCCAGAGTAGCATACGTGTCTAATCTAAGAGTGAGTCACAGGACTTTCCTTGGCAAACTTGAGCTCTAATTCACTCCCATAGTCCATGGCCTTGAAAAACTTTATACATGAATGCACTGTGCATCAATTTTCTCAAGTTGAAAAAAAGGAAAGAATGTGCTATCTCTCTCTTTGTTATGTAAATAAATGGTGTGACTACCAGGATGAAAGGGCTACTCAAAAAGAAAATAAAATGCAAAATGAGCCCTAACGTGGTACCTGAAGATATTCATGGAACACTGAAGATACTCAGTCTGTAAGTTTTGACACAAATAAAGAAGGCTCCATATATACAACAGAGGAGATTCTTCTGGCGTTATCATTAGGAAGGATCTTTAAATGTTTCCAGGAGGTTGCCCAGTGTTTGGGGCAAAGAGTAAGGGAACCACAAACTGGGTATCTATGAGTCACCTGCCATGCTTAAGGTAGTCTTGACAGGGACTATCCACTTCTGACAATCAGATGATATGACCATATTTAGGCCTTGCAGCCATTAAAACTCAGGAAAAAAGAGCTTTTTCTTGGCCAAATAGGCCACTGCTGTTGGATGGTGGAAGGAGCATACCTGGGGAAAGGGGCACTGAGGTTCTAGGCCACAGGCTTCTAAATGCTTTTCAGCTGCCACTTGCATTTGTAATTTTCCAGATCAGTGGTCTACCCAACGATGATACAGGATTGTGCACCATCATCATAATGTTACAATCCTGTTTGTAAATGAACTGATCCATTTATTCCTTTACCTTAAACTTACTGATATCACCATCAAGACAAATGTACTCTGCTTTCTAGTGACTGTGTTTCCCTCAATTTTTATGTTGAAATTCTAATGCCCAAAGTACTAGTATTGGGAGGCGGGGGCTCTCTTGAGTGGAAATTCTGGCCCTATCAAGGCGTCCCGGAGAGCTGCCTTGTCCCTTCCACCATGGGAGGGCACAAGAAGGTGCCATCTATGAAAAAGTGGGCTCTCACCACCCATGGAATCTGGTGGTGCCTTGATCTTGGACTTCTCCTCTTCCAGAACTGGGAGAAATGGATTTCTGTTGTTTATGAGCTACCCAGTCTACGGCTTTTGTGACAGCAGGCCAAATGGACTAAGACTCTCCGTGTCTACTGAAAAGGGAGAGGCAGGTTGGCACACCATTAGCATATAATATGGTAAGTGTGGGGAACTCATTAACTAAATACAGGAAGGGTAGTCAAAAACACTGAGATACCAAAAGGAGGCATCAAAGAAGTTACTTATGAAGGTCTTAAGTGACAAGGGCAAAACAGGGTATATTCTAGTAAGAGGCAGGGTTTTGAAAAAACAGAGGTATAGGAAAAAACTTCATGTGTTTGAATAATGGTGAGAAGATATTTACAGCTAAAGTTTATGTGTGTGATAGAAGTGGACAACAGGGTGGAAGAGGTGGGTTTGTCATGATGTTTACAACCCTGAAATAATTTTGGCTTGGTCTTGAAGGTTTTAGCAACTTAACTTAGGGGGCAGGAAGACAAGAACAACTATTACATTTAGGAGGCTATTTTATCAGACTGCGTAAATGCAGAGAGGACTCAATCTAAGCATGTCAGCAATATTAACGAGGCAGGACAAGGAGAAAAGGAGTAGGAACAAGGCCAAGACGGGTACAAAGAAAAACTTCCTATCTTCCATGAGGGTTGGTTAGAAAGGTTACAGACAAAGAACCAGACTAGAAGATCATGTCTTCAGTTGGGAACACTTTACATGTTGGGCTATTTCCTCATTCACAAAATGAGGATAAGTAAAAGATAATCTAACTGGAATTGGAGTTATTATGATGATTAAATAACAAATTAAAAAAAAAACTAGTACTATTTGTGAGTAGAAATGTACAAGTATGGCTCCAAGGAAAATCTGGGACAAAAGAGAAACATTTGGGAGTTACTGACATGTACGTTATGATTGAAAGGAAGATATACGCTCTATCATCCAGAGAGATGTACAGTACAGGGTCTAGAACCCTGGTGGACTGAAATACATACAGCAGGAGGTATTAAGATGGAGGACAATGAGGCAAACTTGGTTCGAATAGATGAGAATCTTGAGAAAACGGTGTCATAGTAAAACTAAGCAAAAAAGAGCCAAAAGTACTGATTCTGCCCAGAGGCTGGTAGGATGGAAGCCAGAATGAGCAGATTTAGCACTCAGGAGGTCATGAATACTCTCAACAAAAGCAATTACAGTGGAGGAAGCAAGAACACAGTTTGTTTGGGAATGTTACATTTCTCAGATATATTTTGACAGTAGATAACCCTTTAATTGGGAAATTCACTCTACAGGGATGAAACACTGAGACTTTTCTCTCTCCCAGGAACCACAAATAAAATTTTTCTTCTTATTTAATCTGGACAACAGAGGGACTTGGAAATCAGGCTGAGAGCAAATTACTACCACTGGGATTCACTGCTATATTTTCTCATGAAGAAAAGAACATTGGGTTGTTTGGGAAGAGTAAAGGAATAGTAGAAAGAAAATAAATACTGGCACAAACATAGAGAACTTTCTATAGTAATACAGAAAGCTGTGTTAACCTAGTGCTGCCAGGAAAACACAGGTGAGTGCCTTGGAGACTACTCCCACCTGTCAAGGGCCATTAACCATATGTTTGCGAGCACTTTATGACATAATGACTCTTACCTTCCTCTTGATATCAGTGAACTGGGAAAACATTAAAGACCAATAAAAAGACAGCTCCAGGATGTAATAGTAGTGAAGGTCAGTTGTGAGAGGCTGAGGATGTAAGAAAAAAAAGGAATGATTAATAGTTAATAAGGAACCCAATTCATATACCAAACATCTCAAACTCAGTGCTGAAAAGTAACACAATATTCTGCTGTACAAATGTAGTTCCTGCCCCATTCTCTGTGTAGATAATGGAGCTTTCAAGGCTGCCTCTAATCCACAGCTTGATGACATTCTTTTCATCTCATTTCAAACCCACAAAGCATTAATCAGCGTGAACATTAAGGATCCAATTCATTATTCAGTTTAACAGTAGCATTTATGGTTCTTTGACATGAATATCTGCAAAATTCCTTAGCCAACCTGAAAATATTTCTGTTGCATACACAGTAAGTGGACAACTGCTGGAAACACCAGGACAAGGAAGGTAGGTAATAGAAACTGGAGCACTATATGGGTCACGAAGGCTGTTTCAAGTTCTGCACTAATTAAAGTCTTCTTGTCATTAGGAAATGTTCAGTACCTTGCAAATATAAAAAGAATTACTCGAAAATTATTTATTAAAAGATCAGAGGGGCACAAAAGCTGCTAAGACAGAGCAGACTAGGCACCCAGCCAGGAAATTTAGGATCAAAGCCCAGCTCCACAGCTTTGTAGGTATAAAACTGGCCCTTAGTTTACTTATATGTAAAGATGGGGGTGATACCTGCTCTAACTTCCTCAGCAGTTCAGAGACAAGACTTTATTTTGCAAATAAATCCATAAAAACAAAACAGCAGAGGAATGGATAAAGAAAATGTGGTATTTATACACAATGAGAGTACTATTCTGCCATAAAGAAGAATAAACTTGAGTCATTTGTAGGAAAATGGATGCACCCTAAAACAATAATGTTAAGTGAAATAGACACACAAGCTTAAATAGCACATGGTTTCTCCTGTATGGGAAACTCAAAATAGGAAGGGAGGGAGGGAGGGAAGAAAGTAAGAAACAAGAAGATCAAAAAACGTTTTTGTCAATCTCAGCATCATCCTGGAGAGAAGATATTACCCTCTTGACTGCCCTTTTAAAACTGGAAGGCATTAGTAACAAAGGACAGGAATTCAGGGCAGATGTTGACAGTCTAGGACACAGAGCTCTGGCTTCAACACCCTTTGAGCAAAGATCAAATTGAGATTCTCTGACTGTCGGTGTCATCAGCTGGGAAAATGCCCAGAGGGGTTAAGAAGACAAGTTAGATCCCATCCAGAAACTGCAGTTTACTGGAGAGAATCTCATAATTAGCACACTCACAGATTGCTCTTCAATTGACAAAGCTTACTCACATCTCGACTTCTTTGATTCTCATAAAAACTCTATAAAATCAGTACCCTCATTCTAGATCTAGATTACATAGTTGACAGGAAACTGCTGTTAGTTAATTCAGCTGGTGAGGCCCATGACAACATACTAAGGCTTCTCCTGCCCAACTTGTGCTTTTCACCACAGGCTGCACGAGGGTCAACTGAGTGCAACCTGACATTATTTTAATCTTAAAATGTACAGATGTATACAAAAGTATCCCACAGGTAGCAAATATAATACCCATGTTCATACAAAAGGAGCAGAGTGTCCTTACTGAAACTGCGTGGACCACTACCTTTTTTTTTTTGGTACCGGGGATCCGACTCGGGACCCCCCGCTTGCAAGGCAAGTGCTGGAACTACTGAGCTAAACCCCCGGCCCAGACCACTACTTTTTTCATCTAAAAATTTGTTTAGTTATTTATGTGAGTTATATGCTAAAGACACAATAAACATGTTTCACGAGCATGTTCAATCTTTGAAAGAGTTTCTCAGGCTTGAGGTTGACTCCGAACTGCAACCTATTGTACATACTTACATGGACAAGATTACATGCCAAGGGCTGTAACTACATACACAGTAATTACGTGCTGCTTAACTCCCCCTGCACATACAAAGAAAGCCATTAATTTATTTTATTAATATGTGGCATTTGTCAAGGAGGAACACTGTTCCCACAAGAAACCACTATGTTGTTCTAGATTTTGGTAACTTTATGCTTAATTATTCAGCATTCAGTGATGATAACTTACCAGTAAAAGAAAATTCATCTAAATCCCTACATATGGTATCTGTCCTTCCACACTTCCACATGTATTTTTAAACATGACTGTATCTACCAGACCCTCAAACTTTCACAGTGAATCCACTCTGGCACCTGTGAAACGGTCCACAGCACACTTTGATTTGCAGCCTTATCAACTCATTTTCTCAGAAATAAGCAATTTCTCAGCTCCAGCTGTGAATGTTAAGAACAATAGGTATTACATTTCACATGGCATTTGTCTCAGTATCTTTCAGGCTGCAAAATTCACCTCGTAAACGTGGTATGTATAGCAGCTGCCATGCCTACACTCAAGGTTTCTGGAAGCCTTCAATGTTCTTTATAAATAGAAATTTAGAGATATATGGATTATGCTACTCACTATACCATTATAAGACTCAAAGAGAGCCTTAAATGACAGGGCCGGGGATTTAGCTCAGTGGTTCCACCACCTGCCTTGCAAGTGCAAGGACCCGAGTTCGATCCCTGGTACCAAAAAAAAAAAAAAAAAAAGACAATGTTTCAAGTATTTACGGTATAAAAACAGCAGCTGGGCCTGAGAATTACAACTATGTAAAATAAATGATTAGTTTCAACATTGTTTCAGTCTCTATCAGGCATCCCCAGTACACTCAGTTGTCTCTTAACCATGTCATGTTGATTATTTACATTTTTCTAATCTGAATAAACTACTTAAAAGTGATGGAAATGCAAACTAGAACTTCATTTCAATATGTCCTTAGCCTTGAACTTGCCAGAGTATCCAATGCCAGTCCCTACCTCCAGGTGCGACTCCCCTGTGAAATAGAGAAGATACAAAGTATGCTGCTTCCATCAAGTGCTCGCCAGAAAGCCCAAATTCCTCTAAAAAGATAACCCCAAAGGACTCTAAACTCAAAATATCCAAATTGATTATTCTAATGTATGTCTTTTTCATTTTGTCACCAAAATACCTAGTTGTGTTTGCTTCTCTTATATATCATATCCCAACTAAACTAGACTTTCTCAGCTAGAAATTAAAGAAAAGCCTCAGCTTATATATATTCAGGGGTAGGTACAAAGGTATGTCTATGGGCAAGGATCTAAAATATTCCCTTTTTAGGAATATGATTTAATCTCATTTTCAGTGAGTCTATCCATGTGTAGTGGTACAAAAGCCCATTTATCTGCACTGAAGGAAATGGAGCTTGACTTACATATTTAAAGGCTGCTCCTAAGATACAAGTGACCAGACTCACTTGGTTCTGCTCTGACTCCCTCTCTGAGCTCTCCCACTTGCTATGGGGCAGCCCTGTGCTGTCATCAGGCCTGGGGACTTCCCTCAGGAAGTAGAAGCAGGTGGGCTGTTTCAAACAGGAATCACACAACTGTTGAATTGATTGCAGCCTATTCTCCAGCAAATGTTTATTTACTCCAAGTTTATTTTCTCTGCTAAGGCAATTGTGCTTTGATTTTGGATTTCACCAAGAATACATCAACTATTGTCCCCACTGGGTTATGTCCAGCATCGATGAAAAAGCAAGTGGCTGTCGCAACCTGTTGGGTCCTCCCTGAAACCCTGAACTTGATATAAGAAAGATATTCTATGTTGTAAAAGCCCAGATGGTAAGGACTTCTTACCTGATAGGGGTAGTTGTACCAACAGTGCCTTGTATTCCACAACCAGGGGGTCTGAAAAAAATGACAAAGAAATATGTTTTACATGTTTTGGAACATCCATAAGATGATAAGAGATGCTTATGACAGGCTCTTGGGATTTACCTGTGTAACATGTTATAGGATATTAAAGCAACTAGTATCTCTCTGAGTAATCCTCTAAGCACCTTGGACTCAATGTTTCCAAAGGAGCATCACTCATCCCTTGACCGAAGATGTGCTTCTCATTTCACTAGCACAGCTCAGGTAAGCCTCAACAGCAAAGCCCTCCTGTGCTCAAGGTCTTTTATGACCGAACAATCATTTGTAATTTAACGGCAATCACTTGCCTTCCACAACTGTACAATTAGAACATGTAAGTGTACACCACAGAGACCCCAACATCTGTAATAACCAGAGATGGCTTGGTATGAACTTAAACAGGTAGCAGGACCATCCAGTAATATAAGTACAAACTTTCTCCTATTTTCATATTAACTTTATCATTCTTTTGCATCCCTTCATCTAGAACCACCAGCACTTTCTGATATACACTTATCTATTTAATGTGCATCTGTATTATTTCTTATAATCAATCTTGTAACATCCTCATCAGGCCCGTACCATAGGAATTAGGATGATTCATTTTAAGGAGTTAATATTTGTTAAGTCCTCCCTATGTCTGATATACTTTTAAGGGATCTTATACTTTTACAGAGCTAACTCATTTCATCCTTACAATAAATAGTAGTATTTGTCTTATTATCTAGCTAGGTAAATGCAGGCCACTGGTGTGTAAATAACTTTTCAGGTTAAACAGCTCAGCAGTGCTGGAATTGCAAATCACACTCAGACTGTCAGCTCCCACTGAAACGCAGCCACTGCGCTCCCTGTCTCGAAGTCTGGTACAAGTGGACCACACTTTTATGCAGGGAGCCAGACAGAAGTAAAAAGCCATCCAAGACCCTCAACCTAAAAGTGTTCAGGGATTTCCGTATTTCCCCTTCACTCAAGCACTATTCATTTTCTCCCTTTTTTGAGATTTTTTTTTTTTTTTAACTCTGGGCTTGAGTTTTGCCATTTGCTATCTGTCCAGTGTTGTCTGTATCATGTAATCTTGCTGCATTTAACTTTCTGAATTTTTAAATTATTTGCATCCTCTCCATTTCTCTCATCCATACCATTCATGTTCATTACTGACCTCACAGTGAATATGAGGATCCAATGACATAGGGTGCATAACAATACTTTGGAAACTTGAAAATTTTAATATGTCATAGTATTTTTGTAGTTACATAAACCATACAAGCCCATTAAAGAAGATACAGAAAATAAATAAAAATAATTTAAATTCTCATCAACATGAACATTTTGATGTATAGCCTATTTTTGGCCTTTCCCCTATGTAATACAGACATAAATATAGGTATAGATCTCTCTATGGATTCTATCTATCTATCTATCTATCTATCTATCTATCTATCTATCTATCTATCAGTACGGGGAACTGAACCCACAGCCTTTGCACTGAGCTACATCTCCAGTTTCTTTTTAATTTCTTTTTTATTAGTATATATTTGCATACATAATAACTACATTTATCTTGAGGAATTGGAACACGTAACACATCTTAATCATTTTTACTTTTCCTTTCCCTCCTTACCCTCCTTAAAAAAATTTTTTTAAGACATGCTGTCACTAAATTGCCTAGGCAGGGCTCAAACATGTGATCCTCCTGCTTCAGCCTCCCAGAGTGCTGGGATTACAGATACTAGATTAATTTTTAAATACACATGTACGCTTGTTTTTAAATTTTGAGCACAGCACACCAAAACTGATTTTAAAGTCTAAAAAAAGCTAGTGTGTACTGCCTTTCTCTCTGATAAAGTTGCTTATCTCCACAATTAACTAACAGCCCCTGAGGGAAAAGTACATCGTATGTACATTTATCCCCTAGTATGAACAGCTCAGCATTCATGTCCTGATGCTAATAAAAGGAGGAGACAGAACTAAATATGAGACCTGAAACAAGCACAGTAGTGTTTTTCTAATGCTTTAGTCTCTAGCCCACAGGGTGTGAGCGTGCTTGCCCCTAATGATGCAGCAGGAATCTCCTCCACTGTGACCATTCCTTCCGGACACAGGCAGGACAGCCAAGGTACGACTCCCAAAGACCCAGAAAGGTCCATAATTCAGTGTTCCCTTCCCCTAGGAGCATCTTGCCTACTGATTTTCTTCCAAAACCCAGGCTTCAACTGTGCATGTCAGATGCGCATCAGCTAGCCCCGAGTCCACTGTGGGCCTGCTACCTGAGCAGCCTGCACAACAGTCTGTCTGGGCCCCTGCCATGTGAAGCCAGGCAAAAGCCAGGCACTATGACTAACAGAGCTACTAGGGCCCCAGCTTAGATCAAACACTTGTTCGCCAAACATTTTAATAGTAAGTTGCTTTACATATGTGCCCACGTATACCCCTCTCTCTGATAATGCTAGCTTTAATACAAACTACTGTCTGTACTGCATATTTTTCTAGGATCTCATGCCCTTCAAACCTTGTGAGACAGGTACAAGATCCTTCCCAATTTACAAATGAGAAAATAGAAATCTGTGAGCAGGTGATTCTCCAGATTTGCTATCAGATTCAGCATCTCTCTAATCTGAAAATTCAAAATCTAAAGTGCTCCAAAATCCAAAACTTAAAATATGTTCAACCAGTAAATATTTTATGCAAATATTCCAAAATTTTAAAAAATCTGAAATACCTCTGGTTCCAGCAGTTCAACACTGATAGATAAATCGTCAACTTACACAGCAACACAGTACATATAACTGCTTGAATCTGACTGATCCATGAAGTTCATTTATCAATTTTTTAATTGATAAAAATTTTTCCATTTTTCTAGCTATCTTTTTTAGAACATTTCCACATTCTCTTGATATCAAAATCTATATATTCCCTCACACAAATTAAAGGATAATAAAATAATTAAGAACATAAAATGGTGAAATATTTTGACACTATACAATAGTGATGGTGATTAAAAACAAACTGAAATCCCTCAATTTGTGATAATAAAATCTTTGTACTTAAAAATCTGGCAATTCAAGCACATTTCTCAGAAACAGGATGCTTTTCCACTTGGTATTACAATGTAAAGAAATGTTATCAAGGTTGGAAAGTCTAAAAACCAAAGGTTCTCAATTTTTTTGTTTCAATAACATGTCCTTGCTTCTGTAACTTGTATATATAAAGCACTTTAGATTTAAAAGTATATATATATGTATATATATATATATTATATATAATCTCATTTAATTCTCACAACTTGTAACTATCAGATGCCTTAAAAGATTTACATTCAATTCTCACAACTTGTAGCTATCAGAGGCCTTAAAAGATTTACAGAGAACACCTCAGCCCAGAGCTTATCAACGTGTTAAGATGCAGGCTGTGATTCGGTATGCCTGGGCCAGGAGGAGGAATTATGTGTTTCTAAGGCCTTCTCACCACGCTGATCTGTGTACCATATTTTGCCAGTAGTAAGGTGTCAGGGGAAAGTAAGATGAGTAATTCCATCTTTCTTATACTCAACACATGCGAGGTACTTTGGTAAACATTTTACAATATCTCACAATCCAGTGTAAATGGATGAATTATTTCTAATATTTACAGTAACCACTGCTAGTAAAATAATAGCTAGAGACAATGCTTCTCATCCAAATCTCCCTATCTGATATAATCTTATACTTACTCTCTGGTAGAAGGGATGTGAGGAGAATTTACATGTAACACTTTGGGAAGCTGCCTCTAAGTAAATGTGAGAGGGTTTATCTCATTCCTTCTACAGGTTTGTCAGAGGGAGATAATGAAAACTAGCACAGCACCTTCAGCTCTGAGATGGAAGTTTCTGTTGAGTCTGATGTCAGGGCTCCCCTGTCAGCCCTGTTCTGCTTACTTCTGGATTGTAGGTATAAGATAAATAAATTCCTAACTTTTTACCCATATATAAGCTAATAAATAGATGTTAGCATAGCATAGCCTATATGCTAATATATGCATCAAGGTAAATATCATTAGTTGTTTTTTAGGCAAAGAAACAATCTCATAGAGGTAATATATTGAACAGTATCCAGGTGGTAAGTAGAAAAGGTGGGATTCAAACCCAAATCCAAATTGATCTGGAATTTCAGCCTTCAGAATGACAAAAAAAGACTTTCTGTTGACTTTCTTTTGTTTAAGCCAGCTAGTCAGTGGTTTTTGTTATGGCAGCCTGAGCTAACACAGCAGGTTAAGTCTTCATAAATAGTCCTTAATAGCTATTAAATTACACATCAACTCACTTCAATTTAAGATGACTTATAATATTTGATTAAGACTAAGACAGGCCATATCATAGTGGATGAGAAATCACCTCTAAATTCTGAATCTAAATCACAATGTACACGGAGGTTTTTCATTGTATTATGTACCTCTGCCCCCAGACATATCCTTTGAGACACAACTCTGAAGCAAGCACATCAGTCAATCACACCATCTCGAGGGAAGCATCCATGCTCTTCTTACTTTGAGCAAACCCAACTGCAGCAGTAGGATGAAGACCAGAGGCACCTTGCAGCCTTCACTTGCAATATGACTTGAGTGCTATTTACTCCTTGATTTTTTTTTCTTATAGAGTACAGAAATCTCTTTGAGTGTCAGTAAATACGTTCTTTTATTAGATTTCTTCTTTTATCAGCTGTATATAGAAATTTCATCATAAACTCTCAAAAACAGATCAGGTTAGATCACTTTATTTTACCATTTGGAGTAATCATGTTAGTGCAATCCCAAAGAAAGACTAGATTTTGCCAGTAAACCAGGCAAGTGTTAAATGGTTAAAGAGAAACAGAGATACAGATACATATATATCATCTGTGTTATTTTTATCAAGACTCAGTAGGTACCTGCGGCTGAATAATATTTTCTTTGAATTAATAATTATTTTGATTTAGCAAAAGAACATGAATCATATAAGGTATTGCAGGCATAGTTTTTTT